GCGCGGGTTCGTTCCCATCCCTAACGGGGCCAGGAAAGGGCCAAGGGAGGCTCGAGGTGGAGGACACCGAGCGCTGCCACCCCACAGGCAGACCCCCAAGGGGCTGCAGTAACACCCGGGACCTGCTTGATACTAATGAGAAGCCAACTTGCATGTGGGAAATGAAGAAAACAAACATCCGTCGTCAAACGGAGGGTGAACCCCAAAACCAAGACTATGACACCTTCACACCACATCCATGACTCCAGCAATGCCCCAGCTCCTAGGGAGGCAGGGGCCGCGTTTCAGAGACCACGATCGAGCCATGAACCGATTCCACGAACACAGAAAGACCAAACCCACGAGGCTTCGGCTGCCGACAGTGGCAACCCCCCCCCCCCCTCTCCCCAAGGCAGACAACTGGGGGGCACTGGGGTGATGGAGGAGGACACCAGACGGATGCACCAGCAAAGCCTGCCTCGCTGGGAGCCCTTAGTCCTGTGCAAGGGGTCACAGACGCCCGAGGAGGACTTTCCTCCCTTGAAACCCTCTTTCTCTAAGCCAGCTCCTGGCTGTGATGACAGATCGCAGGGTGGAGGGACGGTCCCCTGCCCTGGGCCAGACGCAGCTGTGCCCGCAGGGCCGGGGACGGACTGGCGGCTGGCGGAGGGTGGAGGCTTAGAGTGGGGAGAAGGGAGTAATGAAGTGTAAAACGAAGGGGCATTGCCCTCCCAGCAGCCAGGAGTCTCGTCTCACTAACATCATGCCAGCAGAGCAGAAAAGCTGGTTTAAAAAAACAAACCTGACAGAAATCTCATCTCCTCGGGTGAGTTAGTTGAGAGAGCAAATTTTTTGCAATTAAATATCAAGGCATCCGTCAAAGGAGACTTGATTAACCATTTCATTGGCCGCATAATTGGAAACAAACTGTTGTATAATTAATAGACTTACTAGGAGGCAGGCAAAGTCCATCAGGAGCCCTACAGGTAACTTCTTAATGGGGAATCAGCTCCCTTTGATTAAGAGCTGCTGCAGCGCTGGCGGGTGGTGGAGCGGCGTGCGGGGCGC